CCCCCACCCTCCTCGCGTCGCCCCTCCCCCTCCCTCTCGCCCCTCCGCGTTTACATAATCTGAATACTACTCTCCTCTCTCCCCTGGTGGCGTCTGGGAAATATTAGGCTCTTCTCTGCGTACTGGTTTTTCGCTGGCCTCATTTTCGGGCTATCGCTCATTCCGAATCGTGCTCCCGCTGCGGCGCTGGCCTTCCGCGCTTCTGCTCGTTAAGAATCGTGCTTCCGCTGCAGTGCTGGCGTCATTATTTCCAGCGCCACGCCACGGCATGCTTTTCGGTCCTTCCAAATAGGCCCCAACATCTAGAAAATGGCTTCCCGAAAAAACCATTGGAAGTGATTTCACATTCGTTGCCGATTCGTTGATTTTTTTGGGCCGCAGAAGCTCCCCCCCACCTTGGGCTTCGTCACGCCATGCTATGTCAGGCTACGCGTCTTCATTTCCGTGCTTCCGCGCTTGTTTTGTTTCAAAATGTTGCTCTCGCTGAAGCGCTGGCCTCATGTTCGGGCTACCGTTCGTTCCGAATCGTGCTCCCGCTGCGGCGCTGGCCTTCCGCGCTTCTGCTCGTCCCGAATCGTGCTCCCGCTGCAGCGCTGGCGTCATTATTTCCAGTGCCATTCCACGGCATGGTTTTCGGTCCTTCCACATGGGCCCCAACATCTAGAAAATGGCTCCCCGAAAAAACCATTGGAAGTGATTCCACATTCGGTGCCGATTCGTTGGATTTTGGGGCCGCAGAACCCTCCCCACTTTGCGGCGTCGCCACGTCATGCCATGTCATGCTACGCGTTGATTTTCAACACCATGCTATGCCATGTATTGTGATGCCATGTCGCAACATCCGATTTTGCGAATCGAGAGGAGATTTACGCCATGGTAAGGGATGGGAGGGAGGGGTAGGACGTCAGACATGACGCGAGCGCACCTAGCTTGCCCCTCCCCCCTCCCCCCTCTGCTCCCTTCCCGCCCTCCCCACTCTCCCTCCTCTTCTCCTCCCGGCCCCCGTGCACCGCAGGGTCGTGCGGGCCGACGTGTCGCAGCTGCCGACCAAGGAGGAGCAGGAGCTGCTGCCGCTCGCTCGACATCGCCAAGCACGCGCGTGCCTCCATGCCGCAGACGCCGCCTCCGCCCCGGGCTTCAACATTTTAATAACATGTTGTGTTTCAGAGGCCCCGACCCTCAACATGTTAACAACATGTTGTGAAACTGTGCTTACGCTATTAACATGTTGTATAATGTTGGAAATGCACCCTAATATGTTATAACATGTTCAACTCGTCTTCCATAATATTTTGCAACATGTTAGCTGAGCGACGGCTACAACCATAACATTTTGTAAAATTTTAGGGTCGGTAGGGGCGGGCCCGTGGGGATCCTGAGCGGTGCCCCTGGACTGGCCTGGGGGGGGGGGAGGGCCTGGACGGGCCCTGGGCTCCTGGCAGGGCCCTGCGGCGGGTGGTGCATCTGTGGGGGAGGCCCTGGAGGGTCTTGAACTCATCCCGAAAGGGGGCACTGCCGTGGCACAGAAACGCCAGGCTGGGACCGACCGACATTCACGACGCGGCGGCCTACTTGCCAGCGAAGCGAATCTTAAAGAGGGTGCCGTACACCCATTTCTGGCAAATCTTGATTGCACGCTTGGCAGCAACAGACCCATACCGAACCGACGCTCCTAACGTCTTCATCCTCATCTGGAAGTCCTCGTTGATGTAGCACTTGGCCACGTCGGGGTTCATGTACTGCGCCTCGTAACCCACGTGCCAGAGGCCGTGGAACTTCGGTACCTCGTGCCAAAAGTCCGCCCTGTCATGCAGCATCTTCCCCATCTCCTGGCACTGCTGGCCTGCCGCCAAGAAGAGGTCGATGTTCTGCCGCAGCGGAGCCACGACGGTGTCGGGGTCGAGAAAGAACGGCCTCTCCCCGTCCACCTCGGTCTCGAGGAGCCTGTATATCATTGTGAGGCTGTCGAGCATCTTGCTGATGAGACCCTCGTACCTGTTCGCAGGCCTACGCTTCACTTTGAAGATCTTCGCGGGCACTGGGATCAGGTGCCTGGTCTCCGCGGCGTGGCCCTTGAGCAGCGGTGCCTTCTCCATTGGCTTCTCTGGATTCGTGAAGAAGGTCAAGTCCAGATATGTGAAGCGAGAGGGCGTGCTCTCGGCCTTGTAGATTCGGGAAACCTCACTCCAAATCCACGCGCATGCACCCACGGGGTCGTGTGCCTTGACCATGTCGCTGTAGCACATGTGGAACAATGTATTGCCAGCAACGTGCAGGGCGTCGCCGAGATCCAGCGCGTGCATGGTGTCACGCATCATAATGAAAGGGTGCAAGCCTAGACCGCCGTCGTCAGGCTCCCGAAATAAGGCGTGCACGTCCTTCTTCATCTTCACGCAGTGTGCTCGCCACCTGGCCTTCTGCAGGAAGACTGTGTCCCGCCATGGCGCACCAGGGTCCCAGTTGTTCCAAGCGGTCGCGCTCGTTCCGATCTTCGTGGCCTCGCACGCGCAGCAAGGGTGGTTCGAGCTCCAGTGCCCAGGGACGCCGATGTGGTTGACGAGAAACTCCATGTCGCCCTTGAGCAACATGACCTGGCAGAAATATCCATCGGCCAAGTCCTTGCCGCACCGCCTGTCTCCGACGATCCGTTTGCCTTCCCAGTCGTTGTGCGGAAACCTCCCAGCCCGAAGGGCGTTGAGGCTCCATATGATCCGCTTCCGGAACGTAGCTTTTGTTGTCTCGCCCTCGTAATCGTGAGCACTGTCGACCTCCAGCTCGCCGAAGTAACACGATATCAAGTTCAGCACGTCGTCGGTCGACCCCGAACCAAACATCCCTAACCAGACGATAGACATCAACCCAAGAAGCCGGGTGACTGGCGCTCCATCCCCATGCAAGCCAATAGGGATTGCTTTCGTGTAGAAGTATTGCTTGTTGTAGTCCGTAGGCCTGCGGGGGTCCCGAGGGTGCATGCCAGCCCAGAAGTCTCGCAATCTCACTTCGCTCGGGCCCTTCCCAAGAACACGAGCTGTCCACGAATCCCTGAAATTGTGGTACAGGAAGCTAAACCACTCGTGGGGGTCGATGTAGCCATGTATAACTGGCTGCGGTGCGATATCCTCGCCCCTCGTGACGACCATAGACAACCTGCAAGATGCGACATCAAACTTTTTGCCTCCGAGTAGGTGCTGGCGAATCGCGATGAGCTCTCGATGGCAGTTCTGCTTGTTCTGCCCGCGAGTGCCCACGCCAGCGATCTTGCCGAGAAGGTCACCCGTAGCGCCGTCCGTGGTGGCAAGGACCGCAATGCGGTTGCAGTCGATCGCCGTGTAGGTGCCCCAGCTGAACTCCTGGATCAGGTAGATCCCTAGACGGTCGTCGGACACAGGGGCATCCGACCCCGCGGCGGCGAATGCCCTCTGGTTGGCACCGCCGTGGCTCATAGCATGACGCGCCACGCCACTCCGCCATTGCTGCTCTGAGGATGCATCTTCGGATAGAGCTGATTCGATAGCGAACGAGCTGTCGCCAAAATCGAACGCCACGGGCGAAATGAAATGCTTGGGCGCAAGATGCTGTTTGTAAAACAATGCTGGGCACGAAGCAATCACGCATGGGGCATTGGGGGGGGGGGCATAACCGCGCCGCCAGAGAGCCCCCCCTAGCACAGGAACGGCGCTCTCGCTCGAGACGTCCTCGCAATTCATTCAACTTGGCGGATGCCCGACAACGACGACAACGGCCCCCGCTCGGCAGTTCCTCGCAGTTTGCTCCGATACGCCCTGCCCAGAGAGGCCCACCCAAACATTGGGGCGGTGCTCTCGCTCGAGACTTGCTCACAATTCACGCGCCTTGGAACCGTATTGGGACGTCCTGGAACGCGCTCAAGCAGTCTCGGAGGCGAGGCAGGGGGCAACGGGATGCGGAGGGGGAGCACTTGTATATGCAGTTTCAAAGAGGAGGGGGGCGAGTCGTCGGCGCGGTCGTCGTCGTCGTCGTCGCCGCCGTCGTCGTCGTCGTCGTCGAGGTCGAGGTCGTCGAGTCGCCCGCCTTGGAGCTGACGGCGCCTCGGGAGGGGGGCGTCGGAGTGGCGGTAGCCATGGCATGGTGAATCCCCCGTGGGGAGGGGGGGGGGCGTTTAGCAGCATGCGCGATGCACCTTGGGCGACGGCACTCTACGCGCTCTCTAGGGTGCCTCCTGGGGGTGATATTGGGCCCCCCATCGTCTTGGAGCTGACGGCGTCTCGGGGGGGTGGGGCGTCGGAGTGGCGGTAGCCATGGCTTGGCCCACGTGGGAGGATGTATAGCAGCATCCGCGATGCATCTCGGGCGACGGCACTCTGCGCGCTGTCCAAAGTGCCTCTTGGGGTGCTCACGTGCCTCCCCTGTGCCGTCTTGGGGCTGACGGCGTCTCGGTAGGGGGCGTCGGAGTGGCGGTAGCCACGGTGTAGTCCCCGTCGCCGTGCACTTAAATTCCCAAGCTTCGTCGTCCCGTCGTCGTCGTCGTCGCCGTCGTCGCCCTCATCCTCATCGTCATTTTCAACATCGCCACCCGAATTTCAGGAGCGACCTTAGAACGGTCCCCTCATTGGAGGCTTCAGGAGCGACTTCCTAATTGGGCGTTTTTTCCTGACAACACCTCCGAACTGCTGGCGACCCAGGGCCCCACAGGAATCGTGGGACCCTAAAGCAGTGTCGAGACGCGAAGCGTCACTGAATAGGGGACGCGTAGCGTCTCAGAATGCATTGCAACCAATACACGGGCAATCTTCTTCAAACGCAAAAGCAGCCCCCGTGCCGAATAGCATGCTGTCTCCAAGCTGAGCCACCCAACGGGGCAATAAGCGACGCCGAACTCCAACTTCCCATCCAGCGTCTCGCCGAGCGGTGCCAAAGCCTGCTGTCGCTTCTCGCCCCCGCCCAAGTGTGCTGGCCTCCAGCACTGTAGATGTCTAGCCCAGCAACTCGGCTCGGAGCCTCTGCGCGCCATCCTTGGACAGCTAGAGCTTCTCGGCCTGCGCCGCGATGCGGTGAATCAGCTTCGAGTGCGCCTTGCTCTGCTTCTCGGTGATCTCCGCGACCAACCGCGTCTTGCTCTCCTTCTTGGTGGCGCCGACGATGTATGTCCGCTTGGGCGAGGTCGCATTCACGATGCGAGCCTTCGTCAGAGGCTCCTGCCACCACGACTTGTCAGGAGCCCCCTTCATGGGGGTCGCCGCCTTCATGGGGGCCGTCGCCATCTTCATGGGGGTCACCGCCTTCGTGGGGATCGTCGCCGTCACGGCCTTGGCAGTCTTCATTGCCTTCTTGACCCCGCGAGGGGCAAAACCAATCTCAGCTGCTAGATTGGACACCGTGCCCGAGCACCGCAGCACCCGCAAGAAGTCGAACCCCGCTGCCACATCGAACGCAAAGTGCGCGCCGCCGACGCCCTGCATGCCGCCGTTGTCCTCGTCGCCGATCGGGCCCGCCTGAGCCGCCTGCGGGGCGCGGGTACGCCGCCGTCGTTCGTCGTTCGTCGTTCGTCGTCCGTCGTCCGTCGTCCGTCGTCCGTCGTCCGTCGTCCGTCGTCCGTCGCTCGTCGTCGTCGTCGCCGTCGCCGTCGTCGTCGTCGTCGTCGTCGTCGTCGTCGTCGTGGTCGGCGTCGTCGTCGTCGTCGTCGCCGTGGTCGTGGTCGTCGTCGTCGTCGCCGCCGTCCTTTCCTTCCTCATCCTCATCCCCCTCATCCTCCGCAGGGCCCACCCCGTCGTGCCCGCAGGCACCCACCCCACCCCTCCTCACCCCACCTGGTCCAAGCTCCTGCCCTGTCCCCCCCTGGGCGCCGCCTCCGTGTCGTCTGTCACCGCCACGGCGCCCTCGCCCTTGTCGTCGGGCACCCCCTGGGCCTGGCCGGCGCCCCACGCCTCGTCGCCGCCGAAGGAGTCGCCGCCTAAGTCGTAGTCCTCCTCCAAGCCGTCCGTGATCGCCTGGTGCCGCAAGTCACGGATCGTAGCCATCTCGCTCAGCAACGCTGTGAGGGACGACTTGACGCGATCTGGCAAGACACCGAAGAGGCCCTTAAACGCGTTCTTCCTGTTTAAAGCCGCTGCCACGTCCGAAATCATCAAACGATACTTGTTGCTCAACATGTCCGCCGTCTGCTGAACACCCTGCCTGAAGTACGTCGCCGAGCTGCGACCCGATAGCACACCAGCGAACACCTTCCTCGGCTCGTCGTGCTTCACGTTGCCGTCGCCTCTGGCGCTGAACCTCGCGAGCATCTTGAGCACCTCGGCGCTCTTGGCGAGGGTGCGGAGCTTCGGGGGGTTCTTATTGCTCACAGCGCCCGCCCTCTGCATGTACTCGCCAAGGTCGAAGAGCCGCAGGACGCAGCCGTCCTCATTCTCGTCCACGTTGGCCTCGACGTATGCGTCGAGCGCCTTGGCCAGCCCAACGGTGTCAGCATCGCCGACGGGGCCGCGGCGAGGGCACTGACCTCGCGGCATGGCGCTGGAAGGAACGCCACGCCGATGAAACTCTGCGCCAAAATGGCTTCGAATGACAGTGGCGCTGGATCACGCGGCGCCACTGGGCGCCAACGCTCGCTTGGGGCAGGATGCAAGGCATGCGGGCGCTGGCGCCAGAGCAATGGTATCCAACATGCTGGGGGCATGGCAATGATGCAAGACCCATGGGCGCCAATTCTACACCTTCGGCAATGATCCAACCACCGCCACGACGCTGGTTAGATACCACCCCCCCATGGGGGCCGTGGCCACGCGAAACCACGTGGCTGCAGCTCGGGGCCACCATGCTAGATACCCCCTTACTGGGTGGCCTGGACACGTGACAACAAATGGGCCCAGCTAAGCACCGCCATGTTTGATAGTCCTTCTGGTGGGAGGGGCTGGGCACGTAAAAGATATCGAATCCCGCACTTGCTGCTGTTGCTGCGTTGCTGCTGCGTTGCTGCTGCGTTGCTGTTGTTGCTGCGTTGCTGCCGAATGTGATTGCTGCGTTGCTGCTGCGCTGTGGCTATTAAGCTGACGGCCGTCGTTGAAACGTGATCCAGAGATACGTAAACCATAGCGCATAGCACTGCAATTTTTGTGCAACAGAATACCCGACGCAGCAGCAGCAGAACAGGTCGCAAATGCAAGACAACACAATCAGTGAATGCCCCGCGGCAAATGTTGCCACGCGAACTCTGACACTGCAACCGAAGACACCGAATGACCAGTGCCGCGCAACTCCCACGAGCACTAGCGGCAATGAAGCGCACTGCTGCTGAGCTGCCAGCAGCCCTCGCGGCTAACTTCGGCGAGGGGCGCCACGAAAATGTGAAAGTCGAAACGGGATGCAATCCAGAGCAACAGATGGCCGCGGACGCGACGGGATGCAATGCAATACAATGATGGGCCACACAATGCAATGCAAAGCAATGCTGCGCCATGCACGTTAATGCTAACGCAATGATGCACCACCAGACGTACTTGCCGACATACAATACATTTCTGGGCCACGCAATGCAATGCGAAAGCAATGCTGCGACAAGCGGGTTGGCCGCAATGCAAAGAAATTCGGTGTCATGCTCCCTGCCGCTATGCCGTGCCATGCCAATGCTATGCACCCTGCTGTTATGTCGTACCATGCCTCACGCTGCTCCGCGAGGCCACCGCGGGGGGGGGGGGGGCACCTGGGGCGTGAGTGGGCCGCCGACCCACGCGGGGCCACCAGAGCGTCAGCGTGTCGTCGTGGACGTCGTGGTCGTCGTCGCCGTGGCCGTCGTCGCGGTCGTCGTCGTCGTCGTGTCCGTGGGGCCCACGCAAGGCCACTGGGGCGTTAGTCAAATGATCCGCTGACCCGCAGGGCCATTTGGGCGTCATATAGTTTCTATTGGGCCACGAAAAGTGCGATGGGTGTGCCAAAACGGGCGCGTGGGCCGCCGACCCACGCAGGGCCACTGGGGCGTTAGCCAAACGATCCGCCGACCCGCAGGGCCACTAGGGCGTCAGACTTTTTCTATTGGGCCACGAAACGCGTGAGGGGTGCGCCGAAATGGGCGCGTGGGCCGCCGACTCACGCAGGGCCACTGGGGCGTTAGTTAAATGATCCGCCGACCCGCAGGGCCACTAGGGCATCAGGTATTTTCTCCTGGGCAACGAAACGTGACAGGGGCGCGCCGAAATGGGCGCGTGGGCCGCCGACCCACGCAGGGCCACTGGGGCGTTAGCCAAACGATCCGCCGACCCGCAGGGCCATTAGGGCGTCAGATATTTTTCTGGGCAACGAAACTTCATGGGCGTTAGTCCAGTGATCCGCCGAAACAGTTGTTTCCTCTTGGGGAAACGCGTGAGGGGTGCGCCGAAATGGGCGCGTGGGCCGCCGACCCACGCAGGGCCACTGGGGCGTTAGCCAAACGATCCGCCGACCCGCAGGGCAATTCGGGCGTCAGACTTTTCTATTGGGCACCGAAGCGCGAGAGGGGTGTGCCGAGATGGGTGCGTGGGCCGCCGACCCACGCAGGGCAATTGGGGCGTTAGTCAAATGATCCGCCGACCCGCAGGGCCACTAGGGCGTCAGGTATTTTCTCTTGGGCACCGAAACGTGACAGGGGCGTGCCGAAATTTGCGCGTGGGCCGCCGACCCGCGCAGGGCCCATGGGGCGTTAGTCAAATGATCCGCCGACCCGCAGGGCCACTAGGGCGTCAGGTATTTTCTCTTGGGTAACGAAACGCGACAGGGGCGTGCCGAAATGGGCGCGTGGGCCGCCGACCCACGCAGGGCCCATGGGGCGTTAGTCCAGTGATCCGCCGACCCGCAGGGCCATTTGGGCGTCAGATGTTTCTTCTTGGGCCACGAAACGTGTGAGGGGTGTGCCGAAATGGGTGCGTGGGCCACCCACCCACCCACCACCCACCCACCCACCACCCACCACCCACCCACCACCCACCCACCCACCGCCCACCGCCCACCACCCCACCACCCACCCACCACCCAACCACCACCCACCCACCCAACCACCCACCCCCCCACCCACCACCACCCACACCCACCCACCCACCACCCACCACACCACCCCCACCACCCACCACCAACCACCCACCCACCACCCACCCACCACCCACCCGCCCACCCACCACCCACCCACCAAAACAACAACGTTTGATTTAAAATAAAAAACGCTGGCATGGTTACGACGACGACGACGACGACGGACGACGACCAACGACCCACCGACGACGACCGACGACGTTCGACGACGACGACGACGGGGCTCACGGTGACCGACGACCGACGACGGTCGACGACGACGGCGACCGACGACCGACGACGAAGACGTAGACGACGACCGACGACCGACGACCGACGACGACGACCGACCGACGACCCACCGACGACGACGACCCACCGACGACGACGACACACCCACCGACGACGACCCACCGACGACGACGGACGACGACAGACGACCCACCGACCGACGACCCACCGACGACGACCCACCGACGACGACGATGACGACGACGACGACAACGACGACGACGGACGACGACCGACGACCCACCGACGACGACGACCACCCATCCGCCTGGGATGGGAGGAGGGAGGAGGGTGACGAGGAAGGGGAGGAGACTCGGGGCTGTGTGTTTTCAAATCAAAAACCTTTCAAAAAATAGGAAACGCGAGGAGTCCGAAGAATAAGTTTGGAAAATATGTCGGACTTAAACAGAATATGAATAAGAAAAATAATATTAAGAAAAAGAATAAGTTTAAGAATAAGTGAGAAAAAGAAAAAGAAAAATAAGAATAAGTAAATAATAAAAGTCCGGAATGCAGTTTTAAAAAGTAAGAAAATAATAAGCTTGACGTTCTTAAAAAATAAGAAACTTCTTAAAAAGTAAAAGAAACAGATCGGAATAATAAAAACTACTTAGTTTTTTAACTCATTGAGCCTATGGGGGGGTCGCGCGCCCCGGGCGGACCTGCGGCGGGGGCTCCTGGAGGGCCGGGCGGGCACGGGCCAAAAGACGCGCGCCAGATGGGTGCGCGACCGCTTCGCCAAAACCTCCCTGGCCTCCCTGCCTCCGGTTGCGGCGGCGACGGTGCGCGGTGCTTCTGGCCTTTCTGCGGGCGCATGGTTGGATAATTTCGAGGGGGTCTCGCCCCTTGCCGACCGCGCGTTCTGCGCCGCGGCCAAGCGGCGCACGTGCCTGCCCCTGCTGCTTGCGACGGGCGCGCGCCAGAACAAGCCGGCAGCGCCCGCCCGCGGGCGGGCGCAGGCGGGCCCCGTCTGCGGACGCAATGTAGATGTCCACTGCGCGCGCGCGCGCTGAACGGCCCAAGGGGCGGCGGCCCGGTGCGGCGCCGCAACGCCGCCCGCGACGCCGCGGCGCTTTGGCTGCGCGGGATGGGCCACCGCGCGCAGGTGGGGCAGGTCATCCAAGAGTGGCGCACGGAGGCGGACGGCGCAGCGACACTGGGCGTCGCGTACCACCGCGGCCTGCGCGGGCGTGTATGCCTCGACATCAGCCTGGCGGGCTCCGTGGCGGTCGCGGAGCTCGGCAGGCCCCATGGGGCGGTCCTGCAGCGCAGGGGCAAATTGGAGCATCGCAGGCGCCCATTCTAGAGACTCGTGCCTTATGTCCTGAACATCGATGGCAAATGGGGCGCCGAGGCCGAGACCTAGCTGAGGCGCGTGATCGGCTAGCTTCCTGAGGGCGAGCGCCACGCCCCAGGTGCTCTCTTCGCTCCTCGGTCCCCCGGGCCTTTCAGGGCTAGGCGGCCGAACAAAATGCTCTCGCCGCAGAGGACGTCATGCCGGGCAGCCCCGCGTGCTCGGCATTGGCCAGGTTCCGCATCCATCCCTGCCCCCCCCCCGCTCTCTGCGTCATTCGCCGTCCTGGGCCCTGGCCATGCTGCCTTGCTTGCTATCGCCGATGTCTCCGCGCTTTTTGCACGCGGGCCGTCTTGGGGCTTGCTTGCTGGTGGCGGGAAAAGCAGCCAGCCTTCCTCAGTCATTTCAGTCATATGGTGCTGTCCGCGCACTGCGTGCCAGGAGCCAGTCAGCCAGTGTCAAGAGGCTGAAAGTGGCGGCCAGGGTCGGGGCAGCCCCGTGGGTCGTGGGGCTTGCTGGGGCTCGTCATCGAAGTCGACGCTTGCTCGTGGCGTTTTTTTTTTTTTTTTTTTTTTTTTTTTTTTTTTTTTTTTTTTTTTTTTTTGCTTCTTTTTTTGTTGTGTCTCTCTCTCTCTCTCTCTCTCTCTCTCTCTCTCTCTCTTCTCTCTCTCTCTCTCTCCTCTCTCTCTCTCTCTCTCTCTCCTCTCTCTCTCTCTCTCTCTCTCTCTCTCTCTCTCTCTCTCTCTCTCTCTCTCTCTCTCTCTCTCTCTCTCTCTCTCTCTCTCTCTCTCTCTCTCTCTCTCTCTCTCTCTCTCTCTCTCTCTCTCTCTCTCTCTCTCTCTCTCTCTCTCTCTCTTTCTTTCTTTCTTTATCTCTCTCTCTCTCTGC